GCTGCGCCGGCAGTGGGGCGGGCGGCGGAGGGGGCTTAAATTGGGAACATGAGGCTTTGTTGCAGCTGCAGAGAGAGACCGGTTCATGGTTGGGGGAACGAAGCCTGAGAAAAGTTTACGTAAAAATCAGGGGCTCGTCACCTGTGTTTTGGGTTCAAGCTCGGTCAGGCTTGGAGGAGTTAGTTGAGCACAAAGACCTTGAGCATCTTAGAAGCGTGGGTGCTTGCTGAGAGCTGGGGTGCATTTCAGGAGTGGGAGAAAGCATGCTCTCGGTGTCCGGCGTCGCTCTGGAGCAGGGGATTTAGTTAAATGGGGGAGCAGAGCTCCCTGGGGAGCACAGGGCGAGGGGAGCAGGTGCCCAACTCATGCATGCTGGAAGACAGGCAGCCCCGTTGTGCAGGAAAAGTTATTTGGTGTGTTTGGTTTAGTTTGTCCAAGGTAGCTCCACTCTCTCTTTTCCCAGGATGAAAAGGAATGTCTTTGCCAAAGAAACGGTGCCACAGGAGCTAGCCTCTTGCCGTGGTGATATCCTCATTAGCCGAGCCTTTCTTTGAGAACTTCTCCACCGTACATGTGCTCTTCTCTGCCTGGTGACTCTGTAGTTGGCAGGCACGAGGAGTGCGCGTGTGGCAGCCTACACGCACAGTTGGGGATTTTTTTATTGGTTTGTTTTAGTAAGAGCTGAAGTAGGAACATTAAATGTTTTATAAGGACAACGTATCTGGAAAACCAGTTCCATTTTTGAATCTCCAAATGTATACATGGTCAGCACCTTCCCTCATTTGAATTTTATTTTTGCTTCATTCTGTGTTCAGTTTTATATCGGACTAGTGGCATTTTTGCTTCACTCAACAACTCTGCATTTATTGGAATTAGGATATTTGAACTCGCTCTCTTCTGTTTCTTGTTAACAGTTCTGTTTATGAAAGCTGCCAACATTTTATGTATTTTTCCTAAAATGACTGTTTTGCTGCTGGATTTGGTGCTGTGTTTCTTTATGGTAATATCAAATTATAAAATATTTTCCAAAGCCTCATATTGAGCAAAGGAAATAGTTATTAAAACAAGTTTATCCTGAAGTTGATTCTTTTGTGGTGTCTTGAGATCTCCAATGGTGATTTTCTGGGCTTTTTTAATTTATTTGTTTTTGTATCAAGCAGGCAACATTACCTTTCATACGAATGAATGTGGTAGTGGTGCAGATCTCTCCTCTGTTTTTCTTGAACCGTCTCAAAGCTGATGCTTTTATTTCACCTAGATGTTCGACTCTGCTTTTGAGCAGCCTTTCATTCTGTTACAGTTTTGAGACAGAACTGAAGGATTTTGTTTAATGGAGACATTACTTAAAATCATCTTGATGTAGCATTTAAAAAGACCCACAAAATCACAGGTGATCACTTAACACTGTAGTTTTTTGAAATGTTTGTATTGCTTCATTGCACATTGCGTTTTGCTTTCTTTATTCATTGTTTATTGCTTTGCAGTACAGTGAGCAGGTGGTAAACCTGCTAAAAAAAGCTTTTTATTAATACTGTATGTTGGCATATTTGTGAATTATGTGTGTACAAATATATTTTTATTTCTCTTTCTCAAACCTCCTTTGAAATTCAAGAGAGATTTTTTTTTAGTTGATTTTTTTTAATGCTGTAGTAGCAGAAGCCCATAGTGTTGTTGAGAGCTTTGTCCTTATTTCACAGATGCACTGGGAATTGTTTTTAATCTCCTTTCTGCTTTCCCATTACAGATGGTGATGACGACCCACAACTCTCCTGGGTGGCTTCATCTCCCTCCAGCAAAGATGTTGCATCACCCACTCAGATGATAGGAGATGGGTGTGATCTCGGCATCGGGGAGGAGGAAGGGGGGACTGGCCTGCCGTATCCCTGTCAGTTTTGTGATAAGTCCTTCATTCGCCTGAGCTACCTTAAGAGGCATGAGCAGATCCACAGTGACAAACTACCTTTCAAGTGCACCTACTGTAGCCGGCTTTTTAAGCACAAGAGAAGTAGGGATCGCCACATAAAGCTTCACACAGGGGATAAAAAGTACCATTGCCATGAATGCGAGGCTGCGTTCTCTCGCAGTGACCACCTCAAAATTCACCTGAAAACCCACAGTTCCAGCAAACCGTTCAAGTGTACTGTGTGTAAACGTGGGTTTTCATCTACCAGCTCGTTGCAGAGTCACATGCAAGCTCATAAAAAGAACAAGGAACATATGGCAAAGACTGAGAAAGAGGTGAAGAAGGATGATTTTATGTGTGATTACTGTGAAGAGACATTCAGTCAGACTGAAGATTTGGAGAAGCACGTAATGACACGCCACCCACAGCTTTCCGAGAAGGCAGATTTGCAGTGTATTCATTGCCCTGAAGTATTTGCAGATGAAAACTCACTGCTCTCACACATTCATCAAGCCCATGCCAACAAAAAACACAAGTGCCCTATGTGCCCGGAGCAGTTTTCTTCAGTGGAGGAAGTCTATTGCCACTTGGACAGCCACAGACAACCTGACTCCAGCAATCACAGCATCAGCCCTGACCCAGTCTTGGGGAGTGTGGCGTCTATGAGCAGTGCAACGCCCGACTCCAGCGCATCGGTGGAAAGAGGTTCCACCCCAGATTCGACCTTAAAGCCTTTGAGAGGACAAAAGAAAATCAGGTCTGTGGACAGAGAGGAAGGCCAGAACTGGTCTAAAGTTACGTACAGCTGCCCATACTGCTCGAAGCGTGACTTCAACAGCCTTGCTGTTCTGGAGATCCACCTGAAGACCATTCATGCAGACAAACCTCAACAGAGCCACACGTGCCAGATCTGCCTTGATTCCATGCCTACACTGTACAACTTGAATGAACATGTGAGAAAGGTGCACAAAAACCATGCCTATCCCATGATGCAGTTTAGCAACATTTCTGCCTTTCACTGTAACTACTGCCCGGAGATGTTTGCAGATATCAATAGCTTACAAGAACACATCCGTATTACTCACTGTGGCCCAAATGCTACCCCTCAAGATGGCAACAACGCTTTCTTCTGTAACCAGTGCTCCATGGGCTTTCTGACCGAAGCAACCTTGACTGAGCATATTCAGCAGACTCACTGCAATGTAGGAAATTCAAAATTGGATTCCCCTGTCATTCAGCCAACACAGTCTTTTATGGAAGTTTATTCATGCCCTTATTGCACAAACTCCCCCATTTTTGGCTCCATCCTGAAGCTTACAAAGCATATTAAAGAAAACCACAAGAACATTCCTCTGGCACACAATAAGAAGTCAAAAGCAGAGCAGAGTCCAGTTTCTTCTGATGTTGAAGTCTCTTCCCCTAAAAGGCAACGGCTTTCTGCTAGTGTAAACTCAGTGTCTAATGGTGAATACCCATGTAATCAGTGTGATCTAAAGTTCTCAAATTTTGAAAGTTTTCAAACCCATTTAAAGTTGCATTTGGAGTTGCTGTTGAGGAAACAGTCTTGCCCTCAGTGTAAAGAAGACTTTGATTCCCAGGAGTCTCTTCTGCAACATCTCACCATACATTACATGACAACTTCAACTCATTATGTATGTGAGAGCTGCGACAAACAGTTTTCTTCGGTGGATGATTTGCAGAAGCATTTGTTGGACATGCATACTTTTGTGTTGTATCACTGCACCCTTTGCCAAGAAGTTTTTGATTCCAAGGTATCTATCCAAGTGCATCTGGCAGTCAAGCATAGCAATGAAAAGAAGATGTATCGTTGCACAGCCTGTAACTGGGATTTTAGGAAGGAGGTGGATCTCCAGATCCATGTGAAACATAGTCACTTGGGGAATCCATCAAAGTCTCACAAGTGTATCTTCTGTGGTGAGACCTTTAGCACAGAGGTAGAACTGCAGTGCCACATCACAACCCACAGCAAAAAATACAACTGCAAGTTTTGTAGCAAAGCTTTTCATGCCATCATCTTGCTTGAAAAGCACTTGCGGGAAAAACATTGTGTTTTTGATGCTAGCGCTGAGAATGGTACAGCCAATGGCATGACCCCAACAAATAAGAAGACAGAAGGGGCAGATATCCAGAACATGTTAATGAAGAATCCAGATACTTCTAACAGTCATGAAGCCAGTGAGGATGATGTAGATGCTTCTGAGCCCATGTATGGCTGTGACATTTGTGGGGCTGCCTACACTATGGAGGTCCTCTTGCAGAACCATCGTTTGAGAGATCATAACATCAGGCCCGGGGAGGATGACTGTTCCAGGAAGAAAGCAGAATTCATCAAAGGTAGCCACAAGTGTAATATCTGCTCAAGGACCTTTTTCTCAGAAAATGGCCTGAGAGAGCACATGCAGACCCATCGAGGCCCAGCTAAGCACTACATGTGCCCCATCTGTGGGGAGCGCTTCCCATCACTCCTGACCCTGACGGAGCATAAAGTCACTCACAGCAAGAGTTTGGATACAGGGACATGTCGGATCTGCAAAATGCCGCTGCAGAGTGAGGAGGAATTTATTGAGCACTGCCAGATGCATCCAGATCTCAGAAACTCCCTCACCGGGTTTCGCTGTGTTGTCTGCATGCAGACGGTCACCTCTACCCTTGAGCTGAAAATTCATGGGACGTTCCATATGCAGAAATTGGCAGGAAACTCTGCAACCTCGTCACCCAATGGCCAGGCCTTGCAAAAACTCTACAAGTGTGCGTTGTGCTTGAAAGAGTTCCGGAATAAGCAGGACTTGGTAAAGTTGGATGTGAATGGCCTTCCCTATGGCTTGTGTGCTGGATGCATGACCAGGAGCACCAATGGACAGTCTTCAGGCTTGGCTCCACAGGAGATGAACGAGAGACCGTGTGGCAGTCTGAGGTGTCCAGAGTGTAGTGTCAAGTTTGAAAGTGCTGAAGACCTAGAGAGCCACATTCAGGTAGACCACCGAGACCTGACACCTGAGACTAGTGGCCAAAGGAAAGGTACCCAGACGTCCCCTGTTCCCAGAGTAAGTACAGCTGAACGTTAAAACGTCTGAGGGATAAAAATGTAGGCCTTCAATGTGACTGAGGACTGATCTAATGTTATTTTTTTTTTTAAACTATCACCTTATCAAATTACTTATGCTACTAAAAAACCCCCCAAAACAGAAGGAGAGGTAAGGTAATGCACATAGAAAAATTAGATGTTGCTCACCCTTGCAGGCTTCTTGATTCCTAGTGGCAGTGCATCAGATTTGTTCTCATAAAACTGCTCTAGATTTACCAACAGAGAGCTGAGACACTTGAACGGTGGGGATTGAGTTTGTCCATGAATTCTGGTGCTACTGAACTGGCAGATTTGGAAAAGCATTTCCATGAAAAAAGATGATGCTGAGTATCCAAAACAAAACAAAAACCTGATCTGTCATACTTGAGAAATTAGATTATTTCTTACCACGGAACTAAACATGAGCAGGAGGATAAAGGAACCTTTGAGGCGAAATTTAGTAAATTCCACCCTACCCCCCAAATTCTCTCGTAAAACAAATTTCTGTGCTGAAGAGCTTGTCCTTATGGATGTCTGTCAGAGTGAACATGGTGAGGCTACTTGGATGTCTGTATGCATATGTGTGTGCCTGTGTATGTGTGTGTGTATGATTTTAAAAGTGATTTTAAAAGAATCTGCTTCATGGCCCTCCTGTAAGATAAGTAGTTTTCTTAGCTAATCTGGAAATTGTTGTCCAATGCAGGTTACACATAAGTGTGCTCTCCTTTATGTTCACAGATAGCTTGCTTTCCCATTTCTTAGCTTACAAGATACTTGGGAACGTGCAGGTCCAAGTAAGGTTTCAGAAGCCTACTCAGGAGATTAATATAATTTGCAGTTTATAGTCTTTTAAAATTATTTGTTGATGTTTTGGTTCAAGAATGGGCCAAGTCAGTCCTTCCTCTGTCAGGAACAGATGGAATGAGAAGTAGATTTTGGAAATCTTCTCGGGAGACCAACAGCAGACACATCTGAGTATTGATATCGTCTGACATTTTTAATTAAACATGATGGGGTGAGATTTTCAAAAGTATCTAAGGAAATTAGGCACCCAACTCGTAATGAATAATTCCAGCTGTAGATGGCTGTTTATGTCAATCTGCTAATTAAAGCACCCACAAACACATCTTAGTGCATTAAAAGAACCTGAAAATACCATTCAACTAGAACACCAGAGGCTCAGTAAGTAAGAGAAGACACTAAGAACGTCCTGAGGACACAGACTGAGATGCCTCCAATAGAGCTGATGCAGGCTGTGTCCCCAGTGGGACTTGTTAGCTCTGTCTTAGCGCTGGGGCATGCAGGGCAGCAGTGTCCGGCTGAGTTGGGCTGTGTGCAGCCACCTTGGAGCACGGCACACTGCCTGCCGGGGCACCCAATGGCCTCAATGTCCCATTCCAGGCTTCTGAGCAAATCCCACAGAAAGTTTAATTTAATTTGATTTTATTTTGTTTTTTGTTGTTTTTTTGGTTTTTTTTTTAGTAAAACAACTGGATATTGTTCTCTCTGGGTGTGGTGAATGTGTGACTAAGCCTCCAGGCACACACCCCTAATACTGCAGAAGAATGAAGAATGGAAATATTCCTCCATCGGTGTGATACCTTTTGAGACTTTGGCTGGGGCTCTGGCTAGGTCATTCTCCTTCTTCGTCCTCCTCCCCAGGCCTTTATTTCCTTCTAAATTCTTCAAAACACCTCTGTTGTCTTAGGCAGGACTAGTTCTTACTTCATATGTCTGTGCCTATAGCCTAAATAAAGTATTACCTTTTCTTTTCTGTCAACTATCAGAAGCAGAATACATTGCCAGTTTCTGCTCTTATTTCTTGCTTTAACTCTTTCTTTTCAGTGACAGCTTCCATACTTGTTCTCTCAGGGGAGAGTTTTAAGTTCTTCAATAAGGTAAATGCTTTGAATTTCATCCCCTGAGGAAAGGTCTTAGTTCCTTTGTAGGAGATAATGAAAAATCAGCATTTGTGATGACGGCAAATGATACCTTCAACAGGTGTCTATGGCCTGCACCTATGCTAGTATCAGAGACCTTTATGGTATGCATCCCAGGAATAGATATATTGTTATTAGGAATATTTCAGTAGCTTACCCTTCATTATAGGTACAAGACCAGACTTCTGATATCAGTTCATGTGGAAACTACTCAGGTTTCTCAAGGCAATGAGTGCCCTTTGTGTATGCCTAGCACTGGGGTTTTCAAAGAATTATGCTGTCTTTTAAATGATGATAAATCCCCGTATTTGAAGAATAGCATTTACTTAACTTCATTGACTTCATAGCAAAGCTAAGCAGGTTGAACACGATCTCTCTCTTGTCATCTTGTCTTGCATCCATGCTGCACACAGGTAAAATACCGTTTTAGGGGAGCAATCTTAAGTGCACAGTGCATGTAGAGTAATCTGCAGATGTCCAGAGAAGAGCTGCTTCTCTCCAATTCTTGAGCACTTCTACATTTCTTTTTTAAACTACCTTATTGATTTTTCTTTCTTAAACAGAAAAGCAGTTGAAGATTAGGACAAGGTACAGTCAGAAAGAAAATATAGGGAGATTAGGTTTTAAGTAGTGAGTATATATTTCAGAGTAAATAAGAATAAGCAGAATGAAATGCAAACAAATGAAAAAGATGATGATAACATACAAAATCTGTAAATTCTTTCAGTGTTGGAAATTTCTCCACCAGCAGTTATACTTCTTGAATTGAAGAAGTGAGCATGGAGGCCTAAAGGAACTTCAGAAAAAAAACTTAAATGGAGATCAAACCCCAAAGTGAAATAAAGGAAGAAAATAATTACTAGCTCTTGCTGAATAAAAAAAGAAAATATTTTTGAAGAAAAAAGAGCAGGAGAAAAAGAACAGTTCCTTTTTACTGGATGGATGGATGGATTTACATGGATATAGCACCACAAAGGAGGATGAATATTTTTGTTATGTTCTGGTTGGGTTTTTTACTATTGAATTTTGGAGGTTTTGTTCTGAAAATCAGTGGGAGACAGATAGATGAGGATCAAAAAGCATTCAAAATTGCTTGGCAGTTTTTGGGGTTTGGTTTTTTTTTAATCCATAAGAATGAAAGAAAGCACATAACCCTTGTAAAAGTCTGCTGTATTCTGTCTTCCTCACTTACATTTTAGTATGGCAAACAACCAGGAAGAAATATCTGTGAATTGATCACCTTTGTTTCTAGGACATCTACCTGGGATGCAATCATGACGGTCAACAAAGATAGATTTCTAGACGGACAAAATTTTTGCCTTGTGGACATGGCAATGTCTGCATTGGAGGATTTATTATTAGCACATTTTAAATCAAGTCATAGTCTTCCATAAGGAACATTACTAAGAGGAATGAATAAAATACACCTTAGTAGTAAAAGGTTGCTCTAACATCAATTTGTGTTTGATTCTTGTAGTTTTACATGAGCTATTCTGTTTGGATAGGACTACAAGGTTTTTTTTAGATGAGTATCACAAGTGGAGGTACCATTCCAGTATCTGGCACAGGTATAGCTCAATATCTTTTATTATGATTGCATCAGAGGTAATGCCTACATGTTTTTCTGAACATATTTCTGTGTGTAGAAGCTTAAGTTTTGAACATATTTTATTAATTCCTTTTAACATGTCTTCTAGAGGACTGTGCATGTCTTGAGAAACATGACTAGTAGTTCAGCATTGAGATTTTTTATTGCTTCTTGTAATACTAGAAATAGTCACATTTCAAGCTGCTCTTTCTTTTACACAGATTTATCCTTATTTTGTACCATCGTTATCATGAGCAATGCTTGTTTAACATTGACAATTTCCATCTTGAATGGTGTTACTATTTTTAGTCCACCTAGGTTATTTGGACTGAAGAAGCAAAGGAGGTGGCATAGAAATTTGGAAGAATGAACCCTATTGTGCTCCTTTACTCAGTTCCTTTTCTCCTGCACACTTTCTTGGACTCAACTCCTTCTCTTTGTTCTCCCCGGCACCCCTTCTCTTCCCTTGTAAATCCACTTGAATGGAGGAATATTTTCTTTGTAGAACAGGAAACCATTTCCAGATTTAAAGGAGGGCAGTCTGGAAAACCCATGGGAACAATAGTTACTTCAGAAAAGAAACCAGAACCCTCTGTTGTTATTACTACTATTTTGTGCCAAGATTAGAATTAAATATCTTGACTTAATGGGGATTGAGCTCTCAGCTGAAGGCCTGCTCATCTGATCTCTTATGTTACCTAGACTGCTAGCTCCTCAGAGTCTGGGCACCTTTGTTGTCACCAGTTGTGAAGACAAAACTTTAAAAGAGATAACTGACCCATTAATAATGTTCATGAAGCCGTGATACCCACAAAAATGGTAGTAGAAGATCATATTTGGTACCACAAATAAAACAATGTTGTATTAAAACTGGTGCTCCCCATTAACAGAGGATGGAAGTCTGTTTTTGTGACATTCTTTTAAAGAGAATTATTAATGAGCCAAAAAATCAGCTCTTCCATCTGTTCCCTATGCATTTGGGTGCTAATCTAGCTATAGTTGTTTCGTGGCCTGTATGAGGCTGTTTATTAACCTCACTCCGTATCAAGCGGGGTACCCTGTCACAAGAGCCATCACCTCAGTTAAGCTGCTCTTTTGCACGTGTCTCAGCTGAGGCTAGAGATAATACTCAGAGGAAGTCTGAAATCTGCTGTCTCCTCTGAGGGGTGGTCATACAAAGCGGAATGTTTTGTAAGTTTGTGAAATGGTGTGGAGGGGTTTGCGCTGGGTCTGTGGATAAACAAAGACATCCTGTCTCCAGATCTATTAGTAAGTAGCTTTCAGAAGCACCGAAATCAATTAAAAAAATGAATCATTTGTCTGTGCTTAATATAACTTTAAAGATTTGAAATAGAGTTGAGCTGAAATATTGTCCTTTTCAGCTAGTTATTTAGGGAACACTCATAACAGAGATAAGTGTTGTACAAGGCACAGAACTTAGTCATCTTTGAAGTTTTAAAGAAGAGGAAGGTTTCAAGTTTTAAATGCGACCACATGAATCATTCACCAACCAATCCCATTTTTCCCTTCCAAGATTTTTTGTTTTGTTTTTAAAGTTAGGAGCCCTCAGCATGTGTATGCCAGTGTGTTTGAGAAGACGTGTACGTATGTGTGCTGTGCTCATCTGCTGGAACAGATTCCCAAGAAAGAGTGCTGCAGAAATCCAGCTGCTTTTCCATTAACAGCCTTGATTTCTGAATGGACTCCAGGAGGATACTTTCTTGAGCTGCCTAGGGATAACTAGCCAATCCAAACTATTTCCTTTTATATGGTTGGCTGTGTCAGGTTTTGGCCAAATGGAGTATAGCCTTCTTCCTATTATCATGTTAATCACCCATTGTTATTTTAGCCTGGAAAGCCCTGCCTATGTGCAAACACTTACTGCGTACAGAATTCATGGAATACGCATAACATCCATAGACTGGTGCACTTGTTATTATGGTATTACAGCATGTTCATTAACCTCCAGCAGGCTAACTTGTTGCCATTGATGACATGGGAAGTAGTTAAGAAGCTCCTGGCAGCACCTAATTTGTTCTTTCCTCAGCAGGTGCTCAGGGAAATTGGATCCCATGCGCAGAGGGGGTGACAGCAACTCCTGTTTAACTCAAAACTTCTGACTTTTTACTGCTGTCCTAAAAATGGGATTCTATACCGAGGTGTGGGGTGGAGGCTGTAAGAAAAAATAATGTGTATCTAAAAGTGCACAAAAAATACCCACAAAATATTTTGCTTCAAAAAAGTTAAGAGGGTGTTGTTTACAGAATTTGGTTCCTCAGTGCGAATGGCTTGGGGTTCTCATCCATTCCTCGGCTAACTGAGCTTGTGGCCAGCGCCTGGAGATTTCACATACGTTCTGCTGCCATCCACTCTGGCTGTAAGGATACGGACCACATGCTCGTGCTCGTGCCTGGTAGCAAGCATTGCAGTATGAGTTATTCTCTGTAAGAAGTAGGCACAAAAGGCCCAATTTTTCTAAATTGCATGTCTAAAGATGTCTATTTAGGTAGCATATTCCCATGCAGTAAATGAGCATCCACATTAGACCAAAACACCGTACTCCTGCTTTGGGAAGTAAGTTTTTGCAAGTGTACAAAAGCTTAGCGTTCATGTTTTACTTTTTTCCTAACTTGGGTGCCTAACTTGTCAATGTGCATTTTAATTTCTACACACGATTTCTTGGATTTTTTCCTGTCATTTTGCACAAGTACATGCACCACTGTCAATCTGAGTGCAAACCCCATTTTCCCTGTTTGAATAAATGGTTCATGTAATTGCCTCTTCACACTATCTCCTGACTTCTGCAGCTCAGCCTTCCTGGTATGATTTTGAGACGGAGAAAATATACAACAGATTGTGCTGGAAACAATTCTTTGTGGTAATGCAGTTTTTCCAGGATTTCTGATGGGAGACCGTTACAAAATATATTTTTTCCTTTTGTCCTTCACTTCCCAAAGTAAATGTAGGCATTTTGCCTGCTGTATTTTGAGTTTAACTAAAAATGGAATTTTTTGAGAAAGTTTTCTGAAATCAGTTACCATTTGATGTCTTTTATTTCATTCTGCAGGAATTTTTACTACAATGGGTTAAATGACATGAGCAATCTGATTATGGCTCAAGTACTCAATCGCATTTTCAAGTACTATCATTTGAAACTTTTAAAGTTGAAATTAAAAATTTTCCAAAAGCAGGCTGTTAATTAGAGATTGTATTTATGGTCCCAGAAAAGCCCAGCCCAACTTGGTATCCTGTTGGGGATATATGAGCAGAAAAGGCCTCAGTAGAGGAAAGTTGAAGCACATAACATGCTATATTCATGATCACACTTGCCTTATGCTACAGTTCAGTTTTCTCTAATCTCTTTTTGGTTATTAAACAGAAAAAGACCTATCAATGCATCAAGTGCCAGATGACCTTTGAGAATGAGAGAGAGATACAAATCCATGTCGCTAACCATATGATTGGTAAGACATTCTTTAAACTAGGCCACTCATCGGCTGCTTGTTATTTGCTACTCTTTGAAATTCACTATTCTAATAACTTGTTAATATTCATGCTGTAATTTATTTTTTTATCTTTCAAGGAAAATGATTTTGATGTAATGATTCTTCACTTCAAAGCTTTTTAAATATGTGGTTATAAAAGTGTTACTGCTGAGCTTTTTTCCTTATCCTTTTGAGTCCTCATGTAGCATTTTCATTTATATTAAAATCAAACTTTTGACAGTATCTTCCATTTGATAGCATAAATTTCTCTCTATCCATGTAAAAAGTACTTGCCAGTTGTCAACCACTTAGGAGCAATTATGTTTCAATTTTGTATGTCATGACATTGAATAGATTTAACTGCTAGCATTTTCCCAGCTAAGTGTGGTGAATTCCTGAGGAACATTGTCAAAACAAAACACTTACAGAGTTATTTCAGTAGGTTTTTTTTCTTCTTTTTCCAACAATTCTGGACTTCAGAAAGTTCAACTTTTCAGACATGCAAGTGTTTTAAAACTCAGTGCTTGCTGCCTTCTACTACAGTCCTGTCACAAGAGTTTGTAGTAAAGTGTTACTGTAATCTGATGGATTGTATTTCTGCTGCAGCTGTACGATTGCTTTTCTGATCAACACAAAGATATGTTTTTCCTGTCTGTACAGATGTTATAAATATATGTGTTGGCCCAAGAGGTCAGTTTATTTTCATGCATAGACCACAAAGGAGTTAGTTACACATGCCACTGTAGGCATATGTTGGATGAGATCCTTTAAGGACTCTGCAGTGCCTTTTCTGTGTCTCATATATTCACGTGCAGCATTTATCTCGCATAAGCATAATGGTTTTCCTTCAGCAATTTTACATTTAGGAAACTATACTCCCATCAATGCACGTGTGTAACTCCCAATTATCTTTGAAGTGAGTTATGCATAAATACCAGAGAGAGAGAGAAATATGGACTGACACAGTCTTCGCACCCCCACCCCCAAATGAAAAATATACATGTCAGTCACAATAATTTTCATCCAAGAGCCAGGCAGGAGTTTGAAGTCAATGTCAGGCAGGTTAAGATGAAGATATCTAAAAATGTTTGCTTTTGTAGCAGGTGTTAATGTAATCTCATATTTGCAAGCTTGAAGAGTGAGATCCTTGTTAATTGGACCATAGTGATTTCATGTAGCTCCCCCCTACATTTTTTTAAGAAGCCTGAAAGAAAGAAGTCCTTAGGCAAGCTTAGCACTTGTTTCAACTTAATTTGTGATCCAGTAGCTAATAAATGATTTTTAAATGCAAAGGTTATGAAGTGCTGAGTTAAGGTTCTGCTTGATTTGAGAGAAGAATTCTTTTTCCTTTTGAAAAGATGTAATTTCTTCATTTTCCCATAACTGATGTTTGAAGTTTATTTGTGTATATTCCCAAAGTAGTGCTGTCTGGAATAATACACAATGATGTATGTGACATTATGTGGTTCACTATTAGTGCTATTGCAAAACAGCAGTGGTAGAAGGCATAGGAGGCTGAGAAAAGTGTGGTGCTGCTGTTTGTGAAACCTATACCTATTGTTTCCATGAAGCTGTACACAAGTTATTGTACATATTTGGAAGAAGTCTATAAATACAAAGGTGCAGTAATTGTAATTGTGTTGTAAATACCAGGACATGGTGAGAAAACACGTGGTTATTCCATCATGGTGTCATGGCTCTGTGTCACTTTGCTGAAATACGGACTGAGAATGTTCATTAAGTTCAAGTTGTCACTCTTTTTTATGGTGCCATTTAGGAAAGAGTGAAGTATAGAGACCTTTAATATGGAGCCAAGCTTCTTCCCACTCTGGGCATCTCGGTTCACAAGGGGCTTGGGCTTCCTCTCTTTCAGGACGTGTGACTGTTTCCAAAAAGATGTTGCCAGTGATTCTGCTGTTGGTATTTGTTCTTTACTGGGGAATACTGAAGGGCAAAGGACAGACTAGATGTCACAATTTCTCCAGCAATAAGTGCTGTGCAGATTTTTGGTGTTAATTTGCATAGTGCTGAGTCAGTAATAGTAAGGTGAGTGATGGATTACCTCTCAGGCTTGTTCCTGTGCCCTTTGTTCAAAGTCTGAGCGCCTTGATCCCTTACTCAGGCCATAGAAGAGATGGACACGTGCCTCCTTACCACTCAGGCTGGTTTATCACTTATATACTAAGGGGTGCAAGAGTTTCCGTTCTCTGTGTTAGTCCGAGTCTAGCCAGATGGGCAGCGAGAGAAGCTAATATAGCTGTTTCTGCAGGCCAGGTCTGTGTCACAAGACTTATTAATGTCATTGTTGTCAATTTAAGATCTACAGATGAGGATTTGTTTGTGCTGCACTGAGATTCCCAGGGTGAACATATGGGTGTTTGTGGGGCAGAGGGGAGCTTGCCCTTAGACTCTATCTCCTCAGGAGCTTAGGTTTGGACTCATCTCAATGAACTTGTATCTGTCTAAAATTAAGGTGTCTGGTTTAATAGAGTCATCGAGATGCTGTCTGGGGAAAATGAATGATTGATACCAATCTAAGATAAGAGTTTGAGTAGGATAAGCATTTCCAGGGAGAGATTTTTATCTCTCTTTTGAATTTGAAGTGAGCCAAGACAATGAAGTTAGCCTTGACATGTAATTTTTAGGTAAAAAAACCCCTTGGCTTTGATAATCCAAGACCTCTCAGCAGCACTTTCTTCTCATACTTTGAAAAAGACAAAATCAATAGTTGAGATATCCTAAGCAGTTGCTTACAGTTTTATTCTGCTCAAGTGGCTGTCAACAAAGGAATCCTTGCTCTGTAGTAGCAACACCTCTTTAGTATCAGTGTCCATAATATGATTAAAGAATTCAATTATTTCTTGCATCGTAGTCTTAAAAAGGGCATCCAGTTAAGTTGGCTGTGCTTCCCTCTTCAACCTCTCGGCTCCTCAGTTTAGAGTCAGAGGCTCTGCTCATAATTCATGGAGGTAGGGGATTTATTTTTTTCAAAGCAGTATGCAGGGAATTTCCAGTGCTACTCCCACACACTCCTTTGAAAAATTACCCTTCTGCACTCTAGCCCTTCATATCCTGTGCACAAACACAGAGGTACACTGGGTCCTGCACAGGGTCCCTGGGGAAGGACCCAGGCTGGATACATCCCCAGAGGAGGTAAATGGTAGATGTTTTGTTTCATTATACACTGGGGCCTGTAGGAGGGCTCTAAGCAGCAGAACAGACCTCCTCAGCTGTGGTTAGCCAGGAAGGGATCTGTTTAGAAATGTTTTCAGCTGGGAGGGGGTTCGGGGTGGAATTTTTAGAGAGCAGAGGTCTTTGAAACACTGCACTGATTGGGCCTCCTTTGAAACATTCCCATGCCCACAGAAAGGGGATCCCCCTTTGAAACATTTACAGGCACTGGGGAGTCCACCTGGGACTATATCAAAAACTTTCAGTAGTTCTTGCTGCCTCTGTACTTGCTTACCTCCTATTGCGCTGACCTGGCAATGTTTAAAGCTTCTCCCCCTTATCTCCCCACCTACCACTGCCTCTGATGTGCAGCCTCTGTTAGATGCAGGGGAAGATGGGCGTGCGCAGCCGTGGGCTCTACAGGGGACACTGAGCAGCCATGGCAGCAGCCAGAAGCATGGAAATCTGTCGGTGCAGCTTCTCCCTGGTGGCTGGGGGAGCAGTGGAACTTCAATCTCCATCATGGGGCTACCGCAAAGTCCCCACAGCACGGGTGCAGTGGCTGCCCCAGGGAAAGGGCCCTGGCACTGCCCCGTCCCGCCCTGCCAAGGGAGCCCCTGCTTGGAGCCCTGCGCAGGGAACATCAGGATTTGGCCCAGGGTTTTCCTATTGGGTTTTTACAACTGTGCTGTTCCTACAGCCAGGCTGGGTGCCCTAATTAATATTTTTCAGGGTGCACAAAATTCTACAGACTTGTTGCTCTCCAAGGGAAAATGCGTTTGGATCTGTGCTGGGGCTCTGAGCTGTTTGGATAAGAGAAGTGGACATAACAGTCCTTCTCTCTGTCTCGGTTAGATGGGGGTTGTTTTCTATTTAATGTTCAAAAAAGATGAACAACTTTCCCTGCCCTTCTTTCTCCCTTTCTCTAAGTCTCCTGGCAAATGTGCACAGGAAACTCACTGGGGCGCAGTTAGAGCTGGAACAGGGAAACTAATGACTCCTGGTCGTGCTCTGACACTGGGATTGCTGCAGGACCTTCCTGCCTCTGGCTCCAGAGGAGTGTAAGTGTTTGTGGGCTTGTGAGAGGCTGTCCGACTACTCAGAGCTCTGCAGAGCCCTTCCCGGGTGCCACTCCTGTCCTCACACGTGCAATTGCCGGTGCCTCCACTCAAAATTCACGTATGAGTGCTGGTGAGCAGCGAGGGAGGGAGGGGGGAGCAGGCTGGACGTGGTGCACTGTATGCAGTGTGAAGCGTGAGGCCCTGTTTGTGCTTTGAGAGCCACTGGAGGCAAAAGGGAGTGCTGGAGGGAAAACTTCCAGAAGTCACACTGAAATTGCTCCATGGCCTGGTTCTCGGACTGCTGTCTGGATAAATATCTCCCTGTTTGATGTGATGGGGACAACCAAGTTAAACACCATGTTTGGAGGTATGGGGAGGGTTTTCTGAGTACAGCCCTAAGCCGTGGCGTATCATATATTGCATGTAGTGTAGGACTGCAAGTGTCTGAATTACCTTTCCTGCCCTTGGAGATCATGTTTCAAGTTCTGGAAACATGCTGCCAGAATTAAACGCAAAGAGGAGGGATAACATCCACCCACAGTTATGTGTCTTTCAGATGCATAGAAGTATTCTAAACAAAAAATGACCAAACATAGGTTTGTTATTTTGTTAACATTTAAAAATAACATAATATATAAAAATAAGTTTGTTGCTCATAAGAGTTCAAACTGCAATAACCACAGAAGTAATTGTCTAAAAAGCAGCAATTTAAGAAAGCTACTCTTAAGTTCAAAAGAATTAGCAGTT